CAGGCACTGGGAGTGCCCAGGGAGGTTTGGAGTCCCCCTCCCTGAGGGGATTTCAAGCCCTGTGGATGTGGCACTTGGGGACACTCTCAGTAGTGGCCCTGGCAGTGATGGGCATGGTTGGGATTTGTGATCTCCAAGCTCCTTTCCCACCCCAAGCATTCCACGATCCCGTGGTACCACAGCCCTTCCTACCCCTGGCTGAGCCTCCCGAGAGCTCTGAGCCCCCAGCCCTGCCCTGGGCTGTGCCCTGGTGACCACAGGCCTGGGAGGAGATGGCCCAGAGCTGCTGGAAGGGCTAGGAGACCCTTCCCAGGCTCCCAAGGAGCCTCCAGCCCCTCTCCCTGCTGGCAGCAGCAGCAGCCGCAGTGGCCATGCTGGCCCTCCCTTCCCCCAGCCCGGAGCAGCATCCTCCAGTCCCCTGACCCTCCCCCTCCCAAAATTGGCTGCTTTCTCCCTTTTCTCCCCCCCTCTCCTTTTTTTCTTTTTTTTTTTTTTTTTTTTTGGCTGAGTGATGAGCTGTATGCCAAATCCATCTGCTCCTGTCTCCCCTAGCTGCCTTCCATATCGTTCCAGGATCCCTGGCAGCCAGCCTAGACCTATCTCTCTCCCCGCACTCTCCGGAGCACATTCCTTTCTACACCTTTTCCCGAGCTGGGATAGAAATGAGTATCAACCCCAAACAAAAAGCATCTGCTTCCTGCCTGCTGCTGCCTCACCGGCCGTGCCTGCACGCTACACCCGTGTCAGCAGCCATGCAAAACACAGGGAGCCCCCCGGGAGCCCCCCGTGCAGCGCCCCGAGCCCCCCGCGCCCGCTCCCGCGCCGGCTCCGCAGCACCAGCTGTGACCACCGCACCATTTGTTCCTCCAGCCCACGCCAGCACTCCCAGCCAGTTCTTTATCACCCCAATTAGCCTTGTCTGAGCTGATGAGAGGAGAGAGGCTCCCACTGCAAGGCAAGGGATGGGGGGAAGAGAGCTGGAGAGCTGGGGAGGCAATTCCCAGCTTTGTTCCCTGGGAGGGAGGGATGGGTTTCACCCTGGTGCTGGCATTGCTGCCATCCTGCCCGAGATACCTGAGAGATGCTGGTCCATGAACAAGTGATTAATAAGGGTCAGGGCACTGAGTTTAGTGGGGTTTTCCCCCATTTTCCTCTGGTGCTCTTGGAAAGGAGCATCCTCAACATTTACCTGCTCCCAGGGGCTGGGATGGGCTGTGGTTCCCTGGGAGGGATGGGTTTCACCGGGGCAGGGGCACAGGTGCTGGCATTGCTGCCATCCCACCCGCGCTACCTGAGCACTGCTGGGCCATGAACAGGTGCTCAATAAGGGTCAGGGCACTGAGATTTTGGGGTTTTTCCCTGTTTTCCTCTTGTGCTTGGCTGTCTGCCAGAGGGAAAGGAGCATCTTCAGGTTTCAACTGCTCCCAGGGGCTGGGGTGGACTGTGGTTCATCCCAGCCGTATTTCTGGGTGAGCTGAGAGCTGTATCCTGGTGGTGTCCTCAGTGAGGATCTCCCTGGATCTATGGCAAAGCTTCCAGGGCACTGAAGGAATTCCTGTTCTTCCACAGCCTCATTGGAGAGCTCCCCATATTGGGTACCAAGCTGTCAGTGCAACCATAATCCCCAAATCCTGGGGCTTGCCCCAAACAACCCCCTTGTAGCACTGTCTGGGGGTGGTGCTTCCCACCCTGGGTCCCTCAGTGCTGCTGGGAGCTTCTGTCCCTCCTGGAATTCTGCTGGGTTCATTGCTGAAGGCCCTTCCCTGGTAACATCCCAAAGCCAGGAGGGGGATCCCTCCTTTGCTCTGGCACAGACCGAGCTGGGAAGAGGAGGATGGAGACAATTCAACCCCGGTGCCATGGTGGGCATTGGTTTGAAGGGACAAAGTGCCCTGTGTGGGACAGTGGGACAGGTGCCATCAGTGCAGGCCCAGCCTGCTCCTCAGAGCACCCTCAAGGCAGCTGCTCCTTCACAGGAGGGTTCCCAGCATGGCCATGACCATGACTGGGGTCATCTTGGCAGCTGAGACACCAAAATCTTGACCAGGAGCTGTGGTCGCCACATCTGTCACAATTCCCTGGCCAGCTGGCTGAGCAGGTCCAGGACTGGGGACAGCTGGAACAGCAGAACCCCAAAATGAGTGAAATTACACTTTCCAACAAAAAACACCACCAAGGGAGTCAAAGGCTGGTGCACAGCAAGGCTGGGATTTAATGTTGTCTTGGTACCTGTAACCCACCACTATCTCCCTGTTCTCCATCTGATTTCCAGGTGGGAGGAGCAGGTTCCTCCTGATGGATTTCTGAGCAGCTTTCCCAATTTCCTGTACATTTTTCCTTGGTGCAGATGCACCCCTTGGAGCTCCCGAGGCTCTGGAGCAGATTTCAATCCCTTCTTGATTAAAGTCAGCCAGGAGGAGACCTTCAGAGGAGGCTCCAGTCCAACCTGTCACCCCCAGTGTGTCCAACATCTTCCCAGGCTTCAGCAAGGTGCTTGAGCTTGGTGTCACAGCTCCAAAGCAGTGCCTGTGACTGGTGGTGTCACAGGGGGCCCTGACTGGTGCCCATCCTGCATGAGAACCATGGAATCACTAAAATGGAAAAGCCTTCATAGTCCATTCAGTCCAACCACTCCCCCAGCCCTGACCATGTCCCCAGGTGCCTCGTCCATGTGGATTTAGAGCACTTCCACCTTTGGTATGAATCCTAAGGCATTTACCATGTCCTTCTGCTCCATCACCAGACCCATCCCACCTCCCTCCCACCTCTCTGAACCCACCTCAGACCCTTCTGTCCAGCCTTGCCATGGATGAAGAACCCATTCCCCACATAGGGAAAGGAGCAGTTTCCCCCCTGGCCCAGGGGCTGGAAGCTGGAAGGATCTCCAAACAATTATCTCATCTCTTCCTTCCACCAAGACAAGCTCAGCTCTGCCTAAACTATTCCTGATGGCTTCCCTGTAATTTGTGCTGAAAACTTCCCACCACAGACGCCCCACACCTTCCCCCAGCAGTCGGCTGCGATATTTTGCTCTTCCCACCAGGATCCTCTTCCTGCTGTTCAGCTTGGATTGTGCTGGCTGCCTCTTGAATTGTGTCCCACGAGAGCGTGAGCACAGCCCTGCTCCTTCCTTCCCTCCTTCCTTCCCTCTCCCTGCACAGCCTCAGCTTCCAGCTGGGCACAGCCCTGTCCCCAGCACCCCGGGGCTGTCCCAGCACTGAGCTGGGCTCCACCAGGGCAGCTGTGCCTTCCTTGGGGCTCCCAGTTCTCCAAACCACTGGAGAGGGTGGGATTGGGGGGCGTCTCAGTTTGGTTTCTGTGGAGCAGGTTGGGTTTGAGCTGCCCCATTTCCCATGGGCGGTCGGCACTGACCCTCCCAATTCCAGGTGGGATTAATTTCAAAGCAGAAATTTCACTGAGGTTGGAAAACGCTCTGAGATGACAGAACCCACCCTGTGACCCATCCCCACCTTGGCAGCAGTGTGGCATCACCCCCTCCAGCCATTCCTTGCCCCACAGGCTGGAGTTCCATTCCCCCCCTGGATATTTTCCTGAGCCCACCCAGCTCCAAACCCTCGGAGCTGCTCCGTGTGTCCCTGGCAGAAAGCTGCCCAGACAATGGGAGGAGAGCTGCGTCAGAGGCAGGCAGAGCAGAGCAGGGCTGATCCTCCCTCGGGAGGGATCCGTGGGATCCGGATCCGCTGCACCTTTCCCGGTGCTCTCCCGGCACAATGCTTCACTTTGTGCTGCAGCACTGAAAGCAATGGTGAAGTTGCTAATAATGGCACTAAAAGAAAATATGCTACATCTGTTATGGATAGCAGTACAAAATTAGCTGATCACACCTCTGACACCCAAGATGTCTTCACTTAAAATACTCGTTGGCTTTACTTTACATAATTTGCTGATTATATTTAAAAGAAATACAATTTTGCAATTACTGTTCTTTCTGGTGTGCTATCTATGCATCATTTTCTTTTTATGTTTATATATTTCTCCTTCATTAGTGCAGTCTGAAGGGTGATTAGATCCCTTCAAACATTTTACAGAGGTTAAACGTTGATTAAGATTTAATTATTACTGTAAATAGCTTGGAATGACATATGGTGCAAAAACCTGACATATGTGCATTTGAATAAATGAAGTGCTATTTCCCATGATGCTTCAGTAGCTGTTTAACAGCTTTGCTGAAGGGTTATGTTGCACCTCATGTTAAGATTGCTTTGATGTTATATTTTGTTGGGTTTTTGCAGCTGAAAGCTAAGAACAGTTTTTCCAGTTTTTAAAAACATTGAATATTTTAAATACCTAAATTGTTTTGCACAAATTTTTGCTAATTTGTCTAACTAGGTTAAACATTTTCAAAAGCATTTCGATTTTTAACGTGGGTTCCTCGCATTGTGTCAGCACCAGCGTGGGTTCAGTGTACAGGATTCCCAAAATTCCAGGTTTTCCCAGGTGTCCTGGCCCGGCTGGGAGTGGGGTCTTTGCTTGCCCAGGAGTGCCATGGATCCCTCCCAGGGATGCAGAGATTCCAAGTGATTTCAGAGCAAGGGAAAGCTTCAGGAGGAGCTGGTGGAAGGAAAAAAATTAGGAAAGGGATGGAGATTTATGGAGATGGAGAAAGGGGCAGGAAGGGTTTGGCCATGAAGGTGGAGCCCAGCCAGGCTCTTCCTTCAGGCACCACCTGGGCTTTGGCAGGTCCAGCTCTGGGCTCTGGGTGCCGGGAGCTGCAGGGAAGGAAGGGATGGGAGGCTGGGCTGGGTGGGATGTGCTGGAGCCTCAGACACTCAATAATTCATTGAGCACTGCCAGGCACAGAACGTGCAGCGTTCCCTGTGCTGCAAACCCATCCTCATGGCGGGGGGGGGGACACACACACCAAACAGCAGCAGCAGCATGGTTGGCATGGAATTATCCCCATCTCCTCCCTCTCCATGAATCAATTCTCCAAGTGATCCATGACTGGGCTCTGATCCTGCTCCTCTTTGCCTCCGCAGATCGAGACATCCCAGCTGGAGCCGGAGATCGCCATGGCCACCACCAGTAAAACTGTGGTCTACAACAAAGGCTTGTGAGTGCAAGAGGAGCATCCCAACCCAGGAGGCCTGGGGAGGGAAGAGGGGAAGCTCCAGCCCTGGAGAAAGCAAACAACAGCAAGAAGAAGATGAAATAATAGAGCTCAGTGATAGGAGATGCTCCCGGCAGCCCGGGAGTGAATTAACACCTGCAGAGAACTGACACCTCACACCACTCAAAAAGATTAATATTAAAAGTTTTAACTTAGCAACAGGAGCAGCAACTACAACAAATAAAATCACGTTGAACCACTTTAGAACTAGCTAACAAAACTCAGAATGGCTGGCACTGCATGGAGGGAGATCAGGGTGAGCTCAGAGCTGCCTGCACAGCACAGACATCACCCAGCACATCGTGTGTCCATGGGAGCTCAGTCCCCACTGCTGCTGCACAGCACCAGCTCTGCAGAGACCCAGGGGAGCGTGGATGTGATTGATCAGGGCATTGGGAATGCCCAGTGTTGATTTCCTGCCCATCCCACCCCAGCACTCGTGAGCTGAAGAGGAATTGCCACGTCTGTGTGCCCAGTGAAGGGCTGGGCTGTGCCCTCCATCCCTCCTCCTCCTCCTCCTCCTCCTCCTCCTCCTGCTGCAGACACTGCTGGTGGCATCCTGCCCTTCACTGCGAGACTGGATCCCACCCCCTGGAATTCCACAGGGGCTTTGGCCTGGGTTTCAAGATCCTGGAAAGCTGAGGTGCCCATGGGTGGAGTGTTGGAGCAGAAATGGTGCTGGAGCTGCTCTGTTCCTCTGCACAGCCCTGAGGGGGCTTTGTCCCACCCAGCACCCTCTGACAGAGGTGCTGCTAATCTCAGGTGGTTGGCTAAGCCACACTTTGCTGAGCTGGTGTCTAAGGACAGGATGGGGTTTAAGTTTGGATCAATCCCCAGCTGGGCAGGCAGTGGGACAAGGATCATGGCAGCCCCTTCCAACTGAAATCTCCTCTCCTCTCCTCTCCTCTCCTCTCCTCTCCTCTCCTTTCTCCTTTCTCCTTTCTCCTTTCTCCTTTCTCCTTTCTCCTTTCTCCTTTCTTCTTTCTTCTTTCTCTTCTCTCTCCCATTTCTCCAGCCCCTCCACCCAGCACACCCAGCTCTGCCCAAGTCCCTGTGCTGGTGCAGACAAGGACCCAAAGCCAGGTCCTGGCAGCTGTACTGAGCTGATGCTGTGCCACTGCACCTTCCGAGGGGACACTGCCCTCTGGGGACATCTGTCTGTCTGTCTGTCCCTTCAAGCTTTAGGCTGGTTAAAGAGGAGAGCTGAGTCACCCCCACACTGCACCAATTTTGGGGGCTCAGTTTGGCTTTCTGGTACCTCACAAAATTCTGGTATCTCACAAAATTCAACAAAAATTCACCCCAAAATACGACCCTGAGGGACTCCCTCAGGTTTATTTGGAGCATGGCCACCAGCAGAACATTCCAGAGGCAGGGTGTGCCTGCAGGACCCATATCCCTGCAGGTTCCATGTCCCTGCAGGATCCCATGGAGAGGGCACCGTGGTGGTGTTGGGGTGGCACAGGCTCTTTCCCTTCAAATGCCAGTTTCTTGTGGGGTTGGGGAGGGGGGGGGGGGGGGAAGGAGAAACCAAATCCCCACTGACACAGAATGTACTTGATGGATTTGTTGCAATGTCTGGAATTGGGAGGCCTGAGCCCCCCAGGTGTGGAGTCAGACCCACAGGAAAAGGATCCACCCCGTGGGGCAGCTCAGGACCCTGCTCCTGCCCTGCCTGGTGTAAATCAGCAGGAATTGCACACAGGGGGTGAATGCTGTGGGTTTCAGCAGGCAGGACAGGAGGGGCAGCTCCAGGCCCCTCAGAGCTGCTGTTCTGGGACAGCTCCAGGTCCCAAACACTGCTGGGAACCCAGAGTGAGCCCTGCTCACCCCTGGGGCTGCTCTGGGTCACACCAGGGCCAGCACAGCTGGGCTGGGCCCAGGGCAGTCCCTCAATGCACTACATGAGATGAATGCACCTTCCAGAGGATGGTCCCACCCCAGCTGGGGCTGGGGGAGGGCACAAGGAGGTGACAGCTGTGCTGGGGACATTTCCATGGCCATCTGTCCCATTGGCAGCACCCTGGGACAGATAACTCCTGCAGCAGTGAGGGGGAGCACAGGGAAGGGAAAAGGGACATGGCAGTGCCCAGGGATGGGGAAAAGGGACATGGCAGTGCCCAGGGAAGGGGAGCAGGGATGTGGCAGTGCCCAGGGATGTGGCAGTGCCCAGAGAAGGGGAGCAGGGATGTTACAGTGTACAGTGCCCAGGGAAGGGGAGCAGGGATGTGACAGTGCCCAGGGAATGGGAGCAGGGATGTGGCAGTGTCCAGAGAAGGGGAGCAGGGATGTGGCAGTGCCCAGAGATGTGACAGTGCCCAGGAATGGGAGCAGGGATGTGGCAGTGCCCAGAGATGTGGCAGTGCCCAGGAATGGGAGCAGGGATGTTGCAGTGCCCAGGAATGGGAGCAGGGATGTGGCAGTGCCCAGGAAGGGCAGCATGGATGCTAGCAGTACCCAGGGTTCTGTTTGGAGCAGGGGGAAGGAGGGAGGGATGGAGGCTGAGCTCTGCTGTGACATACCAGAGGGGAGGGAGCAGAATTTGGGGTTGTGGGTGATCACAGAGCCCAGGGATGGTGTCTGAGCTGGGGGTACCTGCAAGGGATTCCCAGTGGATGGAAGGAGCCTGGGCCCTGCTGCCATCAAGGAAAGCCAGGGGTTGATCAGGTTCTGCCTGGGGAAAGAGCCAGATCCCTGTTTCCCCGTGGTGGGAGAGGCTGTGGGTGCTTTCCCTGCACACCCACCACCTGCAGGGATCACACATCGTTAGCAGGGCTCCCATCCCGTTTCCTGATTGTGGATGAGCCCTCCCTGGCAGGGGTTTGGAATGGGATGAGATTCCAGGGCCCTTCCAACCCAAACCATTCCAGAATTCCCTGCTGCCAGAGGAGGTGGAGAAGTGACCATGCAGTGACCATCAGCAGGGGCTGGATCCGTCCAGAGCAGAGACCCGGGGTTATTAAAGCCAGGCAGCTCTGGGGAATGCAGAGGGGCTGATCCTGGGGAGGGGCTGGGCACAGCTTGGGGATGTCAGAGGAGCTGTGCTGTGAGCTTGCCTCGGCTCAAAGGCAGCTGCTCCGTCACACAAGTGACAATGACAGGCCCTAAATGAGTCTGGGGTGGTGTCTGCCCGCACAAACCCCGTCAGACTTGTTTGGCTTTGTGTGGCAGCAACAGGGGCTCAGTCAGCTCGGCAGGGTTTGTGCTGAGCAGTGGAACACCCCGGGCCTGAGTCAGCCCTTCCCTGGCAGGGTCACCTCTGCCAGCCCCTGGCACCCTGGCAGCAGTGGTTCCTCCCAGATTTTGTCCCAACGTCACTCCAAGTGTCGTGGCCCTGTCCAAAGCACTGGGCAGAAGCTGCTGGGGGAGCTGGGGAGAGCCACCAAGCCCTGGGCTCATTCCCTTCTCCACCTCCTCTGGCAGCAGGGAATCCTGGAATGGTTTGGGTTGGAAGGGCCCTGGAACCTCATCCCATCCCAAACCCCTGCCAGGGAGGGCTCATCCACAGTCCCTGCAGGTCTGGGGTGGGGAGGTGGCCCTGGACACCCTGGGATTGTCCCCACACCTCCCAAACTCACATGCATTCCCCTGGGACAATCAGGACACTGCAGGTCCCTCTGTGCTGCCCTCCCCTCGCTGTCCCCAGCTTGGTGACACGCAGGACAAGGGCTCTGCATGAGGAGCACATTGTGGTGGCCCTGAACACCCTGGGATTGTCCCCACACCTCCAAAACCCACGTGCATCCCCCTGGGACAATCAGGACACTGCAGGTGTCCCTGGGACAATCAAGACACTTCAGGTGTCCCTGGGATAGTCAGGACACTGCAGGTCCCTGGGTGCTGCCCTCCCCTCGCTGTCCCCAGCCTGGTGACAAAGCAGGACGAGGGCTCCACATGAGGAGCACGCTGTGGTGGCCCTGTGCTCCCAAAGCCTTGGGAACCCAGAGTCCTTGGGCATCTCAGCATGGGGACACCGAGATCACAGTGTCCCCAGCTGAACCCACCTGGAGTGATTCCAGCACCAGGAAAGCTCAGCAGCCCCAAAGCTGAACCTCTCCCAAGGCACTGACACTGCCAGGCAGAGCGAGGCTGGGATCCCTCCTGGGGCAGCCCCAGAGCTGGGAGCTCCTGGTCCCTGCCCTTGTGGTGGGAGCAATGGGAATGTCACATGTGGGAATGTCACATGGGAATGTCACATGTGGGACCATTCCATATGGGAATGTTATATGTGGGAATGTCCCACATGGGGCTGTCACATGTGGGAATGTCCCCTGTGGGCATGTCCCACACAGGAATGCCCCATGGGATTGTCCCACATGGGAATGTCACGTGGGAATGTCCTACATGGGAATGTCAGTATGAGAATGCCCCACATGGAAATGCCTCACATGGGAATGTTCCACATGGGAATGTTCCACATGGGAATGTTCCACATGGGAATGGCCCACAGGGGAATACCCCGCGTGGGACTTTCCCATATGGGAATGTCACATGGGAATGTCCCACATGGGAATGCCATATAGTAATGTCCCACATGGAAATACCACATGGAATGTCCCTCTTGGGCATGCCACATGGGAATGCCACATGGGAATGTCCTACATGGAAATGCCCCTTGTGGGAATGCCCCATGTGGGAATGCCCCTAAAGGAAATGCCACATAGGAATGTCCCATGTGAGAATGTCCCATATGGAAATGCCCCACTTGGGATGTCCCACCTGGGAATGTCCCATGAGGGACTGTCCCATGAGGGAATGTCCCACGAGGGAATGTCCCCCTCAGCCCTTCCAGCAGCTCTGGGGCCGGGACACAGGCCAGGCCACGGCTCCACGTGTGCTCTGGTTGTCAGGCCAGCGAGCGGTGCCAGGCAGCTCCCCGGCCCAGCCAATGACACCACTCTGCACGTTCATTTAATCACTAATTAATCTCCTCATGCACAGAGCAGAGCCCTGGGTTCGGGAAGGACCCCGAGTGCTGCATTCCCGGTTTGCTGTAATTGGGAACGAGGGAGGGACCGGGCAGCGCCGCTCACATCAAGCCCTTCCCTCGGCACGGAACAATAACGAGACCGTCGGCTCCTGGAGCATCTAATTAGAAATGGCGCGCTTAATTGATTTCTTGGCAATGTTAATTAAGGAATAACGAGGACCAGGATGCAGCACGAGGTGCCAGTGAGAAGTTTTGAGTGTCTCTCTGGAGGATGGGTCTGGTGGCTGCTCCTGGGACAGCCAGGGGACAAGCCCAGGGTGGTGTCACCCATGTCCCAATGGGTGTCCCAATTCCAGCCTGGGCACAGCTCAGCTCCTTCCATTTTCCCTTGTTCCTCCTTTTCCTGCCCCCTCCCTGGGCTGTGCCAGGTCCTGGCAGGATGGCAGGAGGTCCCTGTGGGGTCACCTGGCCAATGCTGGACGCTGCCACCCGGGGACAGGAGATGCTGGGACATCCCTGGCAATGCCACCTGCCCCAGGGATGGGCTGTCCCCTCCTCTTGGAGGGCAGGGATGGAGATCCAGAGTCTGGGATGGCCTTGGGAGGAGCGTGGAGGGTCCCAGGGTGTGTGAGACCCCCCTGGGCAGAGCTCTGGGTATAGAGCAATCCCCTAGGATGCTCTGAGGACATTCTCAGGCTGGGATGTGGAGTCCTGGTGCTGGTGGCTGTCCCCAGCTCTGGGTGTGTCCCCAGGTCCCTTTAGGAAACACCACTTTGGGCTTTTTACTGGTTTTTATGGCTTATTCCACACTGGGCATCCACTCACCCTTGGGTCTGAGCACACGCTGACAGCGAATCCCCTGGGAATGGCGAGGGGGCAGCTGCCAGCAACACGTCTTCCAGCGGGGTGGGCACGCTGGACACCCAGGGACACCCCCAGGACACCCAGGGACACCTTTGGGACACCCTGGGACACTGAGACACCCTCAGGACACCCCGGGGACACCCTGGGACACCCCCAGGACACCCAGGGACACCCCTGGGACACCTTTGGGACATCCTGGGGCACTGAGACACTCTCAGGACACCCCGGGGACACCCTGGGACACCCCGAGACACCCTGGGGACACCCCTGGGACACCCCCAGGACACCTTTGGGACACCCTGAACACTCCTGGGACATCCTGGGGCACTGAGACACCCTCAGGATACCCCGGGACACCCCGGGGACACCCAGGGACAGCCTGGGGACACCCTGGAATGCCCAAGAACACCTTGGGACACCTCAGAACTCCCGGGGACACCCCTGGGACACCCCTAGATGTATCCCAGACACCCTGAAACACCCCTGGGACACTCCTGGAACACCCCAGGGATACCCTGGGACACCACCAGGACACCTCTGGGACACCCTGGGACACTGAGACATCCCGGGACACCCCCAGGACACCCCTGGGACACCCGTGGAACACATCCCAGACACCCTGAGACACCCCGGGGACACCCAGGGACACCTCTGGGATACCCAGGGACATCCTGAGACACTCCCAGGACACCTTTGGGACACCCTGAGACACCCCTGGGACATCCTGGGACACTGAGACACCCTGGGACACCCCCAGGGACACCCTGGGACCCCCCCGGCTCTGTCTGTTTTTAACCCCTGCGTCGCCAGCGCCCGCGAGTCCTCGTGTCACCCCTGGATTGTCACAATAAAAGAGGTCACACACTGGCTGTGCTCCCAGCTCTGTGTGCGATTCCAGAGGGAATGTCGGGATTGAAAGGTCCCCTCTAAGGACAGGTTATTATGGGCTGGCTCTCCAGGGAAGAATCTGCTGGGGATGGGGATTTTCCCTGGGTGTGGGGAGGGGCCTTTCCCAACAGCAGGAATGATGGATTTTGTGTGTTTGTATATAATTATACATAAATAATTGCAAAATCTGTATAATGCTAGACTATAAAAATATGTATAATTATAGGCATAATATATATAATTATCATCTAGTACATATAATAAAATATATAAGCCAATTGATATATTTTAAAATATGTAAATAGATATTATTATATATAATATAGACCTCACAAAGCACAATCTATATTTTATATATACATATTGCATACAAAATATACGGTGTGCATACTAATACATATATATAAAATATAAATTATAAAACACAATATACACATATATGCATTTGTATGCATATGATTTATTCATGTGCATATATGTGTATATGTGCTATATATTTTTTTTACATATATATATATATATATATATATATAATTCATATATATATATGGTTTGGTTATTTGGGTTTTGTTTTTGTTTTACTATTTATAGGTGTTTTCCCCCAATTCCAGGAAAAGCTGGGAGGGGCTCCTGACCTTTCTCCCCTGAGCTACCCCAACTGGGGGGTCCCAGCGGGGCCACCCTGGGTGTCCCATCCCAGCAGGGACATTCCCGAGGGATCTACAGGGAACTGCAGCAGCTCGGGAGCTTTCCCGACATCCAATCCCTGTGCAGGTGTGGGGCTGCCATTCCTGGAGCTGCCACTTGCCTGTGACACCTGTGGGACCTCGG